GGTGGGAGAGTTGGAGGGTGGAAATGTGGGAGGTTGGTAGAGATGGAGGGTGGAAATGTGGGAGGTTGGTAGAGATGGAGGGTGGAAATGTGGGAGGGTGGGAGAGTTGGAGGGTGGAAATGTGGGAGGGTGGTAGAGATGGAGGGTGGAAATGTGGGAGGGTGGTAGAGATGGAGGGTGGAAATGTGGGAGGGTGGGAGATAGAGACCGACAAAATGTGATTTTCTAATTGCGGCTGAAATCGACACTTAAAGCGTACGTTAAAAATGACTTTCGGTGGAAACCGAAGCCGACACAAAAAGCTTAACGAGACTTTCTTTGGAAATCGAAATATTTAGAAATTTCAAAACTCGTTCATGCTTACGTTCTGTGTACCTCGAACAATGATGAAGGGAAGTATTGACATTTATTTAATTTTTAAAAAATTAAAAAAAAAATGAGATTATTGTGAATTTTAATAGATAAACATCTGATGTATACTTGTGCTTTTAATTGAATTAAAAAGTGATATACAGTTGTTAAAAATGTATTTTAAAATAGTATGGTAAGAAAAAAATTGACGGGGGGGGGGGGTATAAAAAATCGTGCAAAATAGACCATTGGGCGCCCTTTGCTTTTATACTATAATGACAAGGCTACCCGGACATATTTGGTATCCATCGAAATCTTAGCCTATGTATTTCTATAATGACAAGGCTACCCTGACATATTTGGTATCCATCGAAATCTTAGCTATGTATTTCTATAATGACAAGGCTACCCTGACATATTTGGTATCCATCGAAATCTTAGCCTATGTATTTCTATAATGACAAGGCTACCCTGACATATTTGGTATCCATCGAAATCTTAGCCTATGTATTTTTATTGGCGTGCCCCACTAAAATGTCGGGACATAAGACTTGAAGGAACTCTTTGTTCCGCTAAACAACGAATTTTTGTTTGAAACACGCGTTCTTATTGGCCAAAACCGAAACTATGCCGAAAGTGATCATATGACAACTTTCGACGCCGAAACCGAAACCCGAACCGAAATTCGGTCGGCCATTAGCAGAAGACGAGTTGCATTTTTGATGGAATATTCGCTCACTGTTTCTAAATTTGGAATGAATGCAATTCATGCATCTCATGTTAAATACACTTTAGAAACAACTCGGTGTTAATTCAGTGCATATCTGTTGTTCAGTGCATATCTGTTGTTCAGTGCATATCTGTTGTTCAGTGCATATCTGCTGTTCAGTGCATATCTGTTGTTCAGTGCATATCTGTTGTTCAGTGCATATCTGTTGTTCAGTGCATATCTGTTGTTCAGTGCATATCTGTTGTTCAGTGCATATCTGTTGTTCAGTGCATATCTGTTGTTCAGTGCATATCTGTCACTCGGTTCATATCTGTTATTCAGTGCATATATGTGTTGCAGTTCATCTGTTGTTTAGTGCATATCTGTTGTTCAGTGCACATATTTCTATCAGTGCATATCTGTTTTTCGGTGCATATCTTTTGTTCAGTGCATATCTGTTGTTCAGTGCATATTTTTCGTTTAGTGCATATCTTTCGTTCGGTGCATGTTTGTCCTTCAGTGCATATATGTTGCTCAGTTCACTTTTGTCGTGTTTTCATTTAATTAAACAAGCAGAAACAAATGAGCATCTGATAGTTTCCATACTCAAATAGACACAAATATTTGTATATACATCTGAAATATATGATGGACTCATGCTCAATTCGAGTATTATAAGCCAGTGAAATCATCAGTATTACTAAGAGCCTCTGTGAGATAACTGGTTTTTAAAAATAAAACAAAAAATAAAACCAAAGCAATCTACAGTTGTATGGAATGAAAAGTGAGCTACGCCACATTAATTAGAGGGCCATCCGTAAATGACATTACGCTATGTGTGCGATTTCGTACACCACTCACTGCCACTTAAATCATCACTGATTTGAAGAACCTATACTGCTAAAAGTAATTCAATCACATATTTGTCCAAATCAATATAAACTATGCCATTTTCTTAATTTGTTTAGTGACGTCTACTGCATACATTTAAGACATTCAAATTTACTAAAGTCCTTTATCTAAACAATAAAAAAAATAAGAATGATCAGATTTTATTGACAAAAAGAAATATTTGAACTGGATTATCTCAAAAGGGGTATTTTGTGACTTAATTACTTTTAGCACTAATGACTTTTCCTATGATTAGACAATTTCATCTGACACCGTCCACAAAGTCTTGCCTACCCCCAACTCCTCTAGATCAGTGATCGCCAAACTCATTAGTCAAAAGAGCCAAAAAATCAGCAGCAGGACGATTAAAAAAATGTTGAGAGCCAAATTTCTTTTCAAGAACCTGTCAAGAATCACGTTTTTCCGAGTCAGAACCGAACTGTGGCCGACTGGCCGAGCCGCATTCAGGTCGCTAAAGAGCCGCATGCTACTACTGCATAATTTGTTTACACGTTTTATTAGTTTGCACAGACATTCGACAGCTCACTCGCCTCACCAGAAGACTTCATATATAATAAAATAAAATTTTGATTAACTTTATTTCATTTTATCTAATTGTACATAAAATATGAACGTTGAATTTTTGTGTGGGGATAAAACCGAATTCGCAACAATTTAGAGGTCCATTCAACCCAGTTTAGAGGTCCATTCAACACAGTTTAGAGGTCCATTTAACACAGTTTAGAGGTCCATTTAACACAATTTAGAGGTCCATTTAACACAATTTAGAGGTCCATTTAACACATTTAGAGGTCCACTCAACACACTATAGAGGTCCATTTAACACATTAATAGGTCCATTCAACACAGTTTAGAGGTCCATTCAACACGCTATAGAGGTCCATTCAACACACTATAGAGGTCCATTTAACACTATAGAAGTCCATTCAACACACTATAGAGGTCCATTCAACACACTATAGAGGTCCATTCAACACACCGTAGAGGTCCATTCAACACACTATAGAGGTCCATTCAACACCCAGAGAGGTCCATTTAACACAGTATAGTGGTCCATTCAACACACTATAGAGGTCCATTCAACACACTATAGAGGTCCATTTAACACACTATAGAGGTCCATTCAACACCCAGAGAGGTCCATTTAACACAGTATAGTGGTCCATTCAACACACTATAGAGGTCCATTCAACACACCGTAGAGGTCCGTCCATTCAACACATTATAGAGGTCCATTCAACACCCAGAGAGGTCCATTTAACACAGTATAGTGGTCCATTCAACACACTATAGAGGTCCATTCAACACACTATAGAGGTCCATTTAACACAGTTTAGAGGTCCATTCAACACACTACAGAGGTCCATTCACCACAGTTAAGAGGTCCATTCAGCATATTATAGAGGTCTATTCACTAAAGTTTAGCGATCCAATCAACAATTGTGTAGGTTTCCTATCCCCGAGGTTTGCACTCCATTGCAATAAACCAAGATGGAGACTTTATCTATCAAATTGTTTGCAAAAATTATTTAATGCCCCCATCCCCTAACATTTTTTTCTCTTACAATTTATGCTTATTGTCGAGAATAACACACGCACGGCAGACACACTCGCACACACCCCCAACACACATCCCCAACACACATAAGCAAACGCACAGCTATAGTTATGAACGCCAAGAATGGTTCGAAACTGTCCTGTACACGAACAAATCTATTTTAAACAGCAACTCACGCCTTTAAAAATCTGGCAATCTTTTTGATTTTCTCCTAATTTCAGACTTGAGCGAGCTAAACCCCAAGGGAAAGGGCCTTGAGGATGAGCAGCCGAACTTGATTTTCATCCGTCAAAGCCATGGTGGGGAAGGAAGGGGAGTGTCACGTGACAAGATTACTTGGATGAGCCGAAGCCTTGACAACAAACTGGACAACTGGAGTCCGGAAAGAAAAGAATCGGCTTGTTTGCTAGTGAAGCAAGATTCGGCCATCGTCACCAGGGTTTAGAGAGTTTTCTTTACAGATTCTTTTTACGTTGGTTTTTTTCAGTCATAGGAAAGACCTTGAAAGAAACCATTCGTCGGACATTCGACAAAGTTGATGAAGACACCAATCACGAAATACACAGCAGGTTAATGATGTGACAGGTCAGTCAGCAGGCGGACTCGTGAGTAAAGCGAAAAGTCTATTTCGAGTCCACATCTCGCTGCTTGAATTTCATACTGATGTTCTACGGGGTTAGATGGTTGAGCCTGACGAGACTGTTGGAACATGTGACAGGTCAAGGGCCCCTGGTCATCACAGCGCGGCCTCGGGCCAACGTTTTGTGTGTATTGCGAAATGCCAAAGTGTATAAGGGCTTCCTCGGGGCATCGACATGATCAAGTTAAGCTAAACAAACCCCGGCTACTGGGTGTCCCAATAACACTCTAAAAGCTAGCAACAGCAGCTGCACACCCAGAGAATGCGAGTGGCGGAAGATAGATGTTCAGTCCACCAAAAGAGGCAAAGTATCCCTGACACTCCGCCCAAAAGATCGGTAACGGAAAAGCCGAGCATGACGTCATGTTTTCTTGGAGTATTTCTCATCATCACGGGACTCGCTTCCCTCGTCACCACCTCGTTCGCCACCGACTCCTCCCACCACTCCACCTCCACCACCAGCGAGAATTTCAACTACCGCATACCGGAAGCGGGTCACCACGACGGCGCCAGCGAAGAAGCTGGAAGCGTCCACCACGGCACGCGCCATCACCACGGCAACGGTAAACCAGCCAACGGAAAGAAAACCACCGAGTTCGACCACACTTTCGACGCCAGCAACGACACCCAGCTCATGGCCCTGCTCAACGAGTCGGAAAACCGGCGGAACAAGCTGCGCGACGCCTTCCTGGACACATGGCCCATCCGGGAGTCCGCCAGCATGGTGGAGGGCCACATCACGATTGGCGCCCTGCACATGGTCCACGAGCGGTCGGTGGAGTGGCTCTGCGGGAAGATCATGGACCAAGGCGGGATCCAGGCGTTGGAGGCTATGCTGTACACGCTCGACCACGTCAACGGGAAGTACGGGCACATGCTGATCCCAGGGGTCAGGATCGGGGTCTTGGCCAAGGACGACTGCGATACGGATATTTACGGATTAGAACAGGCGTTGGAGTTCATCCGGGGTGAGTACATTGAATGGCAGTGTAAAGTGTACTGTAGTGTAACAGTGAGTGTAAAAGAGTATTTTACTGTAAATGAAATACAGCATGCGCCAAAAACTAGTATTACTGAAACATCTAGAGTGCATACTGGCGTTTTTCAACGATGCATAAATCCAGCTACCACGTGAAAAGGATTATATGTTGGGCAGTTATTGCTCGTAATGGGTCTCTCCGCGAAGGAAAAAGTAATAATAGTTTAGCGAAGTTTTAGCTCATTCGTTAGTATACATAGAGCGTTTATTTTTTTTTTTTTTTTTTTTTTTTAGTGGGAGAGCAATTATTCCGAGAGAGATTTGTCAAAATGCAGTCACACGGCTCTCGAAAAGTAGTCTGACAACAGAAGGGAAGCTCTGATCGAACTGTTGGCGAGTGGGACTTTTGTCGGGGAACCAGTCATTCCCAAAAACAAATCTGGAACCTCGTATACCACGGCCAAACATTTCCACAATACATCATATACACCGCATATCTGGCTCCGCCAAGCGTCGTCCTAAAGGTATATGTTACAAAAATGCAACCATGTCCTTAAACAATTGACCAATGGACCTATTGCTGGTATCCAGTTTGAAGGCAGTACCTTCTAGAGAACATTGGCGTGACTCTCAATATCGAAAGGCTTTCTGGTTCGATCACATGTCCCCTTGACACAACACAAATCCATAACGGTGAAATTTCGTAGCAATAGACAGCATAAATGTGCTACTCAGGGCCTTCTTATTGAATCTCTCTTTGAATTGTTCTGCCATCAATTTATTTTCGGCCCCCCCCCCCTTTTTTTTTTCTCGCATTTCCGTATTCACTTACGTACGGGCGTAAATTCATAGTCAGCTAGGAATATTTTTTTCGCTCTGTCGATAGACCCATTGGCAACAGAAACTGTCCAACATATACTCTTTAGCACTTCTTGGAACACGCAACGACTGGAGCTGTGCACCGTTGACCAGCGCACACACACTTCAAGACGATTCTAACTTTCAGTACTGTTAATTTTGGCGCATACTGCAATGTGTGTAACTGGAGCATTAATGTAAGTGTGTAGTTTATTGTACTGTGAATTTTGGAAATGTATGTCTTACTTTAATTGCCACTGAAAGTGGTACTTTACTACTACTACTACTACTACTACTACTACTACTAATAATAATAATAATAATCATAATAAAGTTTATTTGAAAATCACGCTTCATCCCCAAACGCTTGAAGCGCCGTACACAGTCAACCATATTAAAAGAGGAAAACAAAGTATATTATACCACATTGAAATACAAAACGCAACATTACAAAAACTACATACGAGAATACCCATTCTAAGTCTTTCATCCCTTGCAAACATAAACAACACAGGCCAATATACATCTAGTACATAATAGCCAGCTGGAAGAGATGGTGGATCATATCACCCCCAGCAGGTGTTTGCGAAATAGGTTTGTTTTCAATTCGGTTTTGTGTCTGGCTGTTTCAGAGAGCGTCAGTAACTGTGTTCCAAATTTTTGGGCCAGCAAATGCGAAAGTGCGCCTTCCGTAAGTCTCCAGGCGTACACATGGTATCGAGAGTTTGCCACTATCGGATGAGTGGAGTTGTCTAGTGGGTACATAAGTCGTCATGAGCGCTTAGAGATAGGCCGGTGCCAGGTCACCAAGCAGCGGTAGCACAGAGTTGCAAGCTCTTTCAGATGTGTTTCAGCATGGTCAAATTTGCGTTTGTGAAGAATAATGCGAGCCGCATTATTCTGTGCTTTTTTAATTCTATCCAGGAGTATAGCTGGAAGACCTACCATGAGAGCATTGCAATAGTCCATGCGTGATAGCACGAATGCAGACATCAGCCTCTTTGTTGCATCAAACTTTAAGAAAGGTCTGATATGACTAATTCTGCACAGCTCTAGAAAAATCGCCTTGCAAAGCATGTTAATGTGATTTTCCATAGTTAGTGCTCTATCCAAGTAGACACCCAGGTTTCGCACTGTTTGAGCAAACTCATTCTGTACACTTGAGAAATTAAGGGATGGTGCGTTATTTACAGATTTTAGCTTTTGAAAATAATGAGGGGGTTGTTGTGGAGATTGCAATCGGGTTAGGTGGAAGGACATATTTGAAAAGTATGGGAAAATCTGGGGGAAAAGGACGTAACAAAAAAATAATAATAATAACGGACGTGTCGGCATGAAGCCTTCTTTGTAGAGGAGTTCAAACAAAGAGTAACTAATAAAAACTTAGCACAGACAACAAAAGGAATAAAGTAGACCCTTAGAAGTTAGAGACTAAATATAGGCCAAGAAGGAAGGAAGGGAGGAAAAAGAAGTATATGGCAATTGGTTGTAAAAAAAGAGGGTGGGGGGGGGGTTGAGAAAAGATTTAACTTGTTAACTTTTAACGTTCGTTGTTTTGTTGCGTCCTATTTTTTCCGGTTTCCCCTACATTGTTTTACATATTTCCTACTTTACTACTACTACTACTATTACCTTATTATTTCTTCTTACTACTACTACTACTACTACTACTACTACCTTCTTCTTACTGCTATTACAACCGTACTACCTTCTTCTTACTACTACTACTGTACTACTTTCTTTTTACTACTACTACTACTACTACCGTATTACTTTCTACAATTATAATGTTCTACTCACGGAGTCTTTACCATATATAACCTTACTGCTCGGTAACCTAAAATATCATTTAAAAATTATTTTTTCCCTGTCTAAGAATGTTCGTATTCAAAAATTAAAATTGTGACATAATTTGTTTGATCTCATTCAAAAAAATTGATTAGCTTTGAAATAAGTTCTCAAAGTCTCAACCTTTCTAACAAATAAACTTGGGCAGGGACAAACTGACAAAACAAAAAAAAAAAGGATCTATTTCATTAAAATGCCCCAAAAACCTGCCTCATATACATTCTACGTTATATCTCCGAAACCATAGAACTTGCCTAGAAGTCCATATATATGCTACATCCACTGGACAGTGTCCGTAGAGGCCCCGCATTGCCCCACCAACTGGACATTGTCCTCACAGTTACTCAGACACACTCAACCGCTTTGCTATAACTTGAAGTGTTGCCCCGAATATTTTATCGACTTCTGACATACTAAATGTATTACCCAACCTCTTTACCGTGTCCCCACAAACTCGACCTGTCCCACAAACTCGACCTGTCTCACAAACTCGACCTGTCCCACAAACTCGACCTGTCCCACAAACTCGACCTGCCCCACAAACTCGACCTGTCCCACAAACTCGACCTGTCCCACAAACTCGACCTGTCCCACAAACTTGACCTGTCCCACAAACTCGACCTTTCCCAAACTCGACCTTTCCCACAAACTCGACCTGTCCCACAAACTCGACCTTTCCCAAACTCGACCTTTCCCACAAACTCGACCTGTCCCACAAACTCGACCTGTCCCACAAACTCGACCTGTCCCACAAACTCGATCATGTTCACTAAAACTTAACCGTTTCCTTATACAAACCCATGAGTGGGATAACCTCAGAAAACCCACTCAGCTGATGCAGAGGTCTAGCTAAGGACCGGGTATGTAAAAATGTGTTCTGCTCCTCTAGGTCGGAGTATCCCAAACCCGAGGCCCACGGGCCACTGTGGAGGCCCTCCAAGTAGTTGAGAGCGACCTGGTTGAAAAGGTAAACGTGAGCCATTTCCGTATACAAAACCCATAAGTAATAATGATAATTACAGAATGCGTATCTTTTTGGATTTCCAAAGTGACCCCCGTTACGCTTACTTGGGGACCACTGTTGTAGACGAATGCGTCTCTCTCTCTCTATCTATAGATAGGCATGTGTATTTTAAATTCCGAGTTTCCCAAATGGTGGTCCGTGGACCGGCGCCGGTCCACGAGTCTTAGGTTGCCGGTCCACACAACATGAACATTTATGGTCAAGTAAAAAAAAAAAAATTAAAAAAACTAACTGTAATTGATAAATCTGGCACCAGCCCCTGTTGCAATTTCGTAACAGGTCCACCGAACTGAAAAGTTTGGGAAACGCTGGTTTAATTTATAACCGGTTCCATTGGGGCTTTCATGTTCGGGAAGGGAGCCAACGTTTCGAGAGCTGTTTCGCTTTTACCTGATGAAATATCCGTCAATGTGTCTAGATTTGTGTGAATGGGCCGATGTCAGCGGATGACCAAGCTGAGGGTAAATCATGGTCCGGCTCCTCTAGAAGGTTAGGGTTTTTCTTTAAAAAAAACCAAACAAAGTGAAATACTCTTTTTTTTAAAAAAAAGTTTGAGACAAGATAAATGGGTGAAAAAACAACAACATTTATTACCAGGGGGGGGGGGGGGGGGGTGGGGTTATAGGGGGAGCTTTAAGGGTGTTCGTTGGGTTTCGATCTAAAGCTGCGTTAATATCTATGCTACGAGAAAGTGTGTAGTTATTAATAGTTCGTCCTTCGCATGCGAAGATATGACCAAGGGTTCTACTTGAGAGAGAGTTGCTCAATTCGTCAGCCTCGCTCTCTCGCCCTTGCCTAATTGTTCCAATGGCAAGACTTAGTCCCGGCGCCTGGAAATAGACCAGGATGCAGTAGATGGCCAGCAGTGTGTCTTGTGTCTTACTGTCATCTATACGCGTTCCAATTTGCAGGAGTTGTCGGAAATTTCATTGTGTCAGTGTCACCGGGTTTAATTTCAGTGTTTGCCTTTTCTTAGATGAGTTGCCATTCAAGGTTAACGAGTCCCATTCTCCCGGGGGTTTTGGTCTTAGATGAGTTGCCATCCAAGGTTAACGAGTCCCATTCTCCCGGGGATTTTGGTCTTAGATGAGTTGCCATCTAAGGTTAACGAGTCCCATTCTCCCGGGGGTTTTGGTCTTAGATGAGTTGCCATCTAAGGTTAACGAGTCCCATTCTCCCGGGGGTTTTGGTCTTAGATGAGTTGCCATCTAAGGTTAACGAGTCCCATTCTCCCGGGGATTTTGGTCTTAGATGAGTTGCCATC